TCCTTCCTTCCTTCCTTCCTTCCTTCCTTCCTTCCTTCCTTCCTTCCCTTCCTTCCCTCCCTCCCTCCCTTCCTTCCTTCTTTCCTTCCTTCCTTCCTTTCTTCCCTCCCTCCCTCCTTTTCTTCTTCCTTCTCTCTTTCCTTCCTTGCCTCCTTCCTTTCTTCCTTCCCTCCCACCTTTCTTCCCTCCTTCCTTCCCCCCTCCTCCTCCTCCTCCTTATAAAAATTATCTATTATGTGTCATGCTTCCTCTCGTGCTTCAAACCACAGTTGTCTCGTGCTTCAAACCACAGTTGGCTCTGAGCACTGGGGTCAGGGCTGGGTTTGAACACATAGTGGCAGTGGCAATCAGAATCCAGAGGCCCTAGCAATGGGGATGGGGAGCGATAGGGCTGGGTCTAGCAGTGGCTACCGACAGTCCTGATGTCTGTATTGCACCCTACAACCAGGCTCTCTGCAGCTTGTGCCATGACTGTCCCTTCAGACTGGGAACTCCTGAGTCATGTATTCAGTGCTGGTCAATGGCCTTCGCAAAGCCCCAGGATCTCTTTACTAGAAATGGTTTCACAATTTTCCCACACAGATTGTGTCCTGAAGGGACAACTGAGTATAAACGTATCATTCTCGGCATTTTTCATATGTAGGGGATAGGGGTGGAGAGAGAAAAAAAATCAGGAAATGTATATATTTATCCTGGACTGGCCTTAAGAAAACGCAGCCACCAATCCATCAAAAATGAATTTGAGTTTGGATAACATTAGCGTTTAAGGCGATCCTCTTCTCTTGTATTGATTCTCTGTGGGTTGAAATGGAAACAATTTTAGAAATGTAGTCTTAGGTTTCCTTAATCTGCGTGGCTCAGGGAGGAAAAGGCTGTTGTCACTTGTGCTAATAACCACAAGAAACACAGTTCTAAAGTGCTTAGCTGGGAAATGAATTCCAGAAACCAGCCCTGGGCATAACTCCAGGGAATTTGTTTCCTAAAAATTCAGCCTTTTTCTTTCCTCCAAGAGAGTTGCCTTAGAAGGCATGGCCATTTGGGAAGGAGAAACTATAACATGCAGAGTTGAGGATTCCCAGGAAGGGAAGAGTGAGTCAGCATGAGGTAGGGTCTTAACTGTTCAGTGATGGGATGAGGGAGGGGGTTGCTTGTGCAACTGACTTTGGAAGCTCAAGGGAGACCTCAGCCTCCCACCACTCAAAATGAATATCTGCTTGAAGCTTTATTAGAACTACTTATATTTTAGGTCAAAGTATTGGGGTTACCTCCTCAAATGTGTATGAAATTTGTCTGTTTTAGCATGAACTAGGCATCATTAGCATTAATTGCCTCTCAGTTCCCAGAGGTGGAGAGAATAAGCTGGGTAGAGAGCAGGGGAGGGAGAAAGATTTGTAGCATGGGGCACTGCAAGTGGGAGAGAGACCAGGGTAGACCCAGTGAGAGACAGAGAGAGCTCATGGGGTGTCTGGGTATGGTGTCTAAAAGGCAGAGGTGAGGATGGCTACCCCCAAAAAGGGAGCCTTGGTCTTGCTAAAGAAAGGCATGTCTGTTTGTAATTTGGGGTGAGCTTCCTAAGGACCAAGCATTTGAGGCCTTGTGCCTTAATCCATTTAGTCAAAGAGAGAAAGGTAGTGAGGTCACAATCTCTTTTGCATTTAGAGAACCTGATTGAGACCTGCGCTTTCTTTCTCAGCCTGCTATGTGGTCTTTTTGCCTCTGGCAATTAATAAAGCCCTTGTAGGTATTTGCATAAATATGGGCTATATTTGCATAAAGTGTAGGCACAATTTGCAATGTCTCCTGGAGGATGAGTCTGTCTTGTGGCCTATACCCTGTTTGTCACCTGAGGTTTGTCATTTTACACCTCCCTTCCTTCACACCCACCCACTTGTCCTGACCTAGATCTGGGAGACCTGAGTGTGGGAGGAGGTTGAAGGGTGAGGATGGGTGGCTCTGTCTTCTGGGCTACCAAGATGGGCCTGCATCCTGCCTTCCTCTTCCTCTTTCCGGGCTCTATCAGCCCTTGCATATAGCCATGCACCCCTGAGTAACACCTTCCTTTTCACCATAAGTAATTTGCTTCGGACATCTCCTTCAGCAGCCTGCATTGGCCACAGCCTGTGTGGATGATTCAGCTCTACAGGATGTATCAAAGAGACATGTACCTAGGGATTTGCAAAGGCTTGGCCTCCCTGAACCTCTCCCAAGAGGCCAGAGCTCTAAGGAATGGGCCTCTCCTGTACATTGTTCAGGCTCTTTAAGGTGAAAGTGCAGATGCTCAGTTGACATTAAGAGTTTGGGTTTATATCAAGTGAGGCCATAACAGGCACAGGCTGGACCTCCCAGGAATAGGAAACCAGGAGGACAGGGCCATGCCAGGGCTTTGATGGAGTTGGGGCCTGGGAGGCTTTCAGAAGCCAGGCCCAACTTTAGTGCCTAGGATATCTTGGTGCCCTCTTAGAAGTAGAAGCTAACAGTCTCCTATTCTTTCCATTAATGACAAGCTGCCTCCCCTACTATTCTTACCTGATTTAAGAATTTCTGTTTACTTGTGGCTTCTGCTCATTTGGGCAAGTCCGAGACTAAAGGCCTTTGCAGATTGGCTACTTTTGGTGTGATTTCTGTGGTCCCATTATCAACTGGTTCACTTTCTCTCCATTAAAAAATTTCCAACAAAGAAAATAAAATGTTTCCAGCTGGGCACCATTGTCTCTATTTGGTCACAATACAAGTGCCCATTTCTTCAAAGTCTGGTGGCTAAGATAGAGGTTGGTTTTCTTAGTTAAGTGCCACTTTGGATCTGATATAATTAGCTATGGCAGCGGGTTGGGGGACCTATGGGGGAAGATCCCTTGGAAGGGGTGGTGGGCATCCAAAACCTTAGCCTGATCCATAGACCTGGCTGGCTAAGTGACAGCAACTTCTATAGCAGTCAGAGTCAGTGATCATCTACTTACTGTGCTGAGGAGACTTAGATGGTACCCTGTATCTAATACTGCAGTCCTCTTCTGGGTTGTCCATCTTTCCTACTGGCTGAGGGCTTCTGATGTCTAGAGCAATGCTCAGCACATCTTTAATATCCAGTAATGATTTGTGAATAGATAAGTACATGCTGCCTAGATTAGCATGAAAACATCTCCTTTTAACTCACCTAGATTATAAGCAAATTTAGCATAGGAGCCCTATGTGAAAAAAATCCACAATACCTAAGGACCGGGCACACAGTTGGAGGTTATTAAATACTTACTGATTTACTGCTTGGTAAATAAACATAAAAGCATAAAAAAGATATTAGAGGGCATGACCTATCAGCCATCCCAACTGGGGACTTTGAGCCAGCTTGTCTGGTATTAATAGTATATATTTATGATTAGACTTTTGAGTGAGGAAACTGGGCATATGCAGTAAGAAAGTGAATAAAGTCTTATTCTCTGATTTTCATGAGCAGAGCATGGACTCATTTCACTATAAGGAAAAAAGAATGATCTTCTTAAACCTCATTAACTCAAACTCTAATTTAGAGTTAGCAATCACTCAGACCCACAGAGCTAAATTTTACTGCTGCACTTTAAAAAGTATATGTGAAGTCAGTGAACAGCATCAGAAGGGAACCAGGGGTGAAGGATTCAGCTTGTTATTGATCACCAATCATAGGTCCCATACCAGTGCTCAGGAAGCCCTCCCTGACCTGCTTATTATCCCTGTTGAGACCCAGGGTATTTTTTGTGCATGTGGCACTCTATCATGACCCATAGCACAATGCATTGTAAATATCCTACAACAGATGGGAGCCCCTTGAAGATGATGACCCCAGTCCTTTTAATCTGTATTTCCAGCTCAAAACCTGCATAAATAAATGTTTGTCCAATGCATAAATAAATCAAAGCTTCCACAGAAAGAGCCTTTACATAAAAATGAGTACTATGTTCATTACAAACACATATTATCCTAGGAATAACGTTTTATGGATTTTAGCCAAGTCCTCAACAAATTGTTCTTCCAGATCTAGTATTACCACTGTAGAGTAAAGGTTGAAAAGGCAACTTTGTAAGAAGATTAAAGATGACTGCTTTTGAGTAGTTAACTTACTGGTAATTAGGCATTTATTCAATAATTCATTCATTTATTTACTAATTCCCTCATTCTGAGATCACAGGTTATAAAGAACAAAATGAATGAGTAAATAAATAAATGAATGAATGATTGAATGAAGGCTGTACTGCTTAACCCATTGTGATTCAAGTTCTTCTCCTCATGTTGTGCCGGGTTGCCTCCTGGTAGGACTAGGTGCAGAGATGGAAGCTGTTGTAGGATTTGGTGGGCTGTACAGGCCTGGCTACAGCTGGAGCTTAGCTAGGTGAAAGGACTGCTCTGAATGAATAAACCTGAGGTCAGGGGGAGGGGAATGCTCTGCTTTGCAGGAGAAACTTTTATGGTGAGTGCTGAGGAACGCTCACTGATGGTGCCCTGGCAAGGGGTCATCCTCAGAAATGTTCTACAAGGGACACAGAGTGTCTCAAAAAGAGGAGAATATAAAGTGTTAGCAACTGAGGATCTGGACAGCAAGTGGCATTCTAAAAACATTGTTAGGTCCTGTGGTCCTCGCCTTATACACACAGAGATACTGCAGTTAAAGGGTAGGTGAAAAGAAATAATATGGAGCCCTAGTCCTAGAGGGTTTAGAAAATAGACCATGTCTTTAGGTACAAAGAAAAGGATGGTTGAGTTTCTAAGAATTAAGATGGGTATTACTTGGTCCCAGGAATAAGACAGTAGACCAGTTATTAGTACTGAGACATGAAGCCACAGCCAGATGGGGACAGAGGCAACTTGAAAGTGGATCCTCTGGGTATCAATCTGTAAGTCTTTCAGTTCCCTTTGCTAGTAACATGTCTTTAGAGAAAGGGTAGATGCGGGTGTGAGTGTGGGCAGAGGTCTCTCTGGAGTC